AAACACAGGAAAAAAGTACTGCTATGTAACAGAGTTAAAAATAAATCATGTTGGAGTCATAGTATGGAGGGTGCTGAGTGCCAAAATGTTGGCAGCAGGAACCGACAAAAAGGCTCCTGACCAGATATTTGCAGTTTTTTATTTAAAGTTTACCTACAGGCCATGCAGAGAGTCACAGTAACTTTGTTTAAGATAAACAGTTGGTTTTTATACACCACAGCGATAAAACAGTTAAACTGTGGTGGACCACTAGAGGGCTCCACTCACACCCAGTGTAGAGGAAGTGTGTTCCTGTGTTTTTGTGGCGCGATGTAGAGGAAGTGTGTTCCTGTGTTTTTGTGGCGCGATATGCGCAGTTGATGTTGGAGACGAATAAAAAGAAGGAGTGAGAACTGAGAGCTGTGTCGTTGATGCTTACCTCCACAAAACCACAGATTTGAACACATTTAGATAAATTTGCAATCTTGGAATTTATGTAACTATAATGAACTTTAATTTCTTTAATTTTCTCTTAGGTTTTCCACACACATCTGTCCTCAATGTTTTCAAAGACCTAAGCATCAATTGGACGAACTTGGCTACAACAAGACTCTTTCCTAAGGTACAGTTTGGTGTTACTGTTTGGAACATTACCAAGGACAGTGGTCATTGCCCCTGCAACCAATGTTGCAGGGGCATTTTTTCATCCCAAATACCAGTATAGTACAATACAGCTCCTTGTGAGCTCCTGTTTCTGAAATATATATTTTAACTATCCAGGCACATGTAATATCATGGCTCCAGTTCCTGGCTCCTATCTAGACTGGCAACATAATGACTATTTCTGGGTCCTCCCAAAAGAGGACTGAAGTAAGGCCAATTAGTGTTAATTCAAATTATGAATTAAATTAGTCAGCATTAAGCATTTGGCTTAATGCTTAACTGCATATTTACCTATCACAATGAATAGACATGTCTGCAACTACATAGGCAGGTTCAAGACAGTATGAACTGTTTGATTGCCTCATTGGCAACACTATTTCTACTACATTATTTTCACTTAGATTTCTGTTCCATTAAGTAGAAGATATATATAGTTTGTTACTTTACCTGCATGCTAACTTGCAGTATCAGTATTTGGGCACATGATGGGGCCGTTGATGTTGCATGACTTTTTAATTTTGGGGGAAAATATATTTCACCCTATTTTAGGGGAGCTTTAGGGTCCCTAATAGTATATCAATCATAAAATCTGACACCAGTGCAGTTTTCTTTAGAAAAGGTTTAAGTATTGCATTTTTAAAACACTGAGACAGAGGCAGTAGGCAATGAAAATTTTACAGTAACTGTAGACCAACAATCAGAGGTACATCTTTCACAAATCAGTGGAAGTGGTGTTGATTTGACAGGTGGAGGAATTCAGGTGCATGGTATGTTATCTTGTGTAATTCTTTAACTGTGATCTCTTAAAATAAAAATTGAAAAAAACAAAAAACAGACAGCTCAGGGTTCAGTACAGGTAAAGGAATTTGTCGTTCTTTTTTTTGTATTTCTTCCATTTTTCCGCTTTCAAGAAATAGTTAAACCGTTCACATTTGTCAGTGGATGTTTCCTTTGGATTGCTGAAGGACTGATCACCAAGTTTATTTTCTAAAAAGATACCTTTGGGTTTTAGCAGTTTAAGATTAATTTAGGCCAATATCAGTTTTTTTTTTCCAAATCATCATAAGAGTTTTTATCATTA